ATATAATATATATGTCATGCATCAGATTTGAAGAGATGTGGATTTAAAATTGAGTTGCATCAAATTAAAATTAAAATCTGAGATGCATCAAATCAGTTTATCATTTATACATCAAACCAAAATGCTATAACGAATATAATAATGATATAATAATAAAATTGTTTTGTTTTAATTTTTTTTTCTTGCAATGAATACATATTTTGTATCAAACTAAAAATTATAGAGTATTCATTTATTTTATGACAAACTTTTAATAACTTGGTTAACTAATATATTGAAAGTTTGGCACCAAGTAACAAAGAAAAAGCACTAATCAATCAAAAAAAACTTCAAAAAATTAAAAATGTTCTTTTTAACACTCTTGATACTATATTATATACTTCTTCTACTTTTCATTACTAGGCTAAGAATAAATTTAAATTACTACAAATTGGTGATTCATATATTGTATTTTATATTTAAATACAAAATAAAAAAAAATAATAAAAAAATTATAATTGAACTTCTCATATTAGTTGTAAAAAACATGTATAATAAATTTTGAAAAATACATGCCACAGTTACTCAGCATGCTAGCCAAAAAAAAACCTGGAATTAAATTAGCAATAAATAAGAATATTGCTAGCAAGAACTTGTAGAAAAATTCATAACACAATGCAATATTTGTACAACTAGACTAATACAAGTTCGACTATTAGCTGTAATTCCAATTATTGAACAAAAATTTATATCATAGTTACAAGTAAATTTGTTATTATTAAATGTTAAAATTTTTATTATTAATTATTAAATATTTATAATTATTATTATATATTTAAAATAGATTAACTTAATTAATATAACTTTTAAATATAATAATTAATTTAAATATATTGCTCATGTGTATAATCATTTTACATGATATTTATAAGGTCATGCACTTACTTCAAAGCAAGTAGTAGAAGTAGCAGCTTTCTTTTTTGATATTTTTACTATATTCAGACCACCACTAATTCTTCAATCTGATAATGGAAAAGAATTTGTTTCTTTAGTAATTGTTGAATTAGTTTATTTATAGTCTACGATTCAAATCATTAATAGCAAATCTAGATATTCTGCAAGTCAAGGCCTTGTAGAAAGAGCAAATGGGATTCTTTAAATAAAGTTAGAAAAGTGGATGGAGAATAATAATAGTTAGAATTGGTCATTCAGATTGAGATTTGTAATTTATGCAATGAACAACTTAATTTGTAGAGTATATAATAAAATACCTTATAAGCTTGTATTTGGTGTATTACTACATAGATATTCTGCAGCACTTGATTACTTGTTTGAAACAAGTATTTTCTTAGAAGATGAAATCCCAAATGAATTTGGGTTAAAAAATATTCAAGAGTCAATTAATAGTTTAGGTGATTTAATTGATAATATCAATAGTATACTTTTAATAGAAATTAAATCTTCTAGTAGTTTTACAAGTTTAAATAAAGATTTGAGTCTGGACAATGAAAACCAAGAAACAGTAACAGTAAGTTATTATTTGTTTATGTATAAGTATTATATTAATTTAATCTATAAAAAATTTTTTTTTATAAGCATTACCTTTACAAGATATATCAAATCAGCTACAAACAAGACACTAAGTATTACAGAACTTTGCTTGTCAAAATTTAGAAAGTTATATAGCTAAAATGATTACTGCAATGGTTGCAAAATTAAAACATAAATTAGAATATAAAATTAGGGAATATGTAAAAATAATAGTCCCTAAAATTAATCGATTTGATATTAATCGACTAATATTTCCATGCAAGGTTTTAGAAAAACTAAGCTATAATGATATATTTAAATATCATCTTGGATGCAAAATGGTATTTTGAATAACTTGTATTGTGCAGATGAGATGAAACTATTAAGCATACAAGAATATCCAGATTTGGATTATATTTTATCAGATCATATATCTATTAGAAAAGCAGCACAAAGTCAAAGTACTAGCATGCTTACAGGAACAATATGCAAATGTACAAGTAGCTATAACACTAACAAATATCATTGCAAAAAATCTAATATTGGGTGTGGAAGTAAATATCATGGTGAAAATATGGGTAATAACAAAATTTAAGTTTAATATATATATTGAATTAATCGTATAATTATTTGTTATTTTTTGCTTTATTATTATCATTATATATGAATTATTTTAATTTGATGCAAATTAAAAATTTTAATTTCACATATCTCAAACTTGAATTTCAATCTGATGCAACTTAGTTCTAAACCTATACACATTCTAATTTGACGCACAACATATATATATATTATAAAAAATATTTAAAAATAGCTTTTATTTTTTTATTTTTTTAATTTTTTTATTTATTATTTTTTTATTTATTATTTTTTTATTTTTTTATTTTAATTTTTAATTTTTTTATTTTTTTTTTTATTATTTTTTTATTTTTATTATTATTTTTTTTTATTTTTTATTTTTATTTTTTATTTTTATTTTTATTTTTACTTTATTTTTATTTTTATTTTTTATTATTTTTATTTATTTTTTGTTTTTATTTTTATTTTATTTTTATTTTTTATTATTTTTATTTATTTTTATTATTTTTTATTTATTATTTTTTATTTTTTTAATTTTTATTTTAATTTTTATTTTTTTTATTTTTTTGGACATTATTTTTTGGTGCACCCTGCACCGTGTGCACCCTTTGCTATAATTTTGCTATAACTCAAAATTTTACTAGGGTAACCCTGTTGTATAATTAATAAAAAATAATCCTCTTGCAATTTTACACTAAGCCAACCCTAACACTAACCCTAATCTAACCTAATCTAACCCTAATCTAACTCTAACTATTCTTAGATTTGAATTTTTCATAGAGGGTGCACACAGTGCACCCTGCACAAAATAAATATTTTCTATTTTTTTTATTTTATTTTTTTTTATTTTTATTATTATTATTTTTTATTTTTTATTATTATTTTTTATTTTTTATTTTTATTTTTATTTTATTTTTATTATTATTTTTTTATTTTTATTATTATTATTATTTTATTTATTTATTATTATTTTATTTATTATTTTTTTATTTTTTTATTTTTTTTTATTTTAATTTTTAATTTTTTTATTTTTTTTTATTTTTATTTTTTTTTTATTTTTATTTTTATTTTATTTTTATTTTATTTTTATTTTTTTTTATTATTTTTTATTTTTATTTTTTATTATTATTTTTTTTTATTATTATTTTTTTTTTTTATTAGTAATTAAACATTTTACAGATTCTTATAATCAAATAAAATTAATCAAATTTGGTTAGATGGTTATCGAAATATTCATTTTTATTATTGATAAATCCGATTGGCCGAATAATGATCTACAATACATGACTAGTAGCTTTTTTTTTTTTTATTTATGCTTATCGACCTAGCATATCTTGTGGGTATTGGCGGATATCCAGATTATCTGACTGTTAGTCAGCTCTCCGTTCGATTCCTTACAAATTCCGAATCAAGGAGCACAGGCCTCGTTCTGTCTATAGAATGGGTAATTAGTGGTTCTGTGTTGCGCAATAGCGTTCGGATGTGCTAAGTTTTTTTTTTTTTTTTTTTTTTTATAAGTTGTCTCTAGACCCGATTTAACATTAAGAGAGTTACATATCTGCTATAATCTTCTATTCTCTATTTTTCTATATATTACAAAAACGAATCGTATGTCAGGCGTCTGCCTAAGTTACGTTCTTGATCTTTGTTCACTCGATTTGGTTTTATACCACGTTTAAACGCAAAATCAGGGGTATCTTGGAAGTTCCATACAAATACTTTCAATTTAACGGTTAAGCATGTATTGGTAGATTACTTTTTAATCTTTATATAACTGATAATTTTAATCCAATTTCAGAATTTATGGCTTTAACGTACCCGTGAAATCACGAGACGCTGTGGGCGTACTTTATTGGATTACAATACAATACGTCATTATTGGACCTTATTTAGACTACAATATCGAGATGTTTATAGTTAGGTGACGGTGACGGAGAAGGACCTATTTTACTTTTGCTTCTTTTTTTCGTTCAGTGTTCTGGTCTTTGTGCACAGAATACTATGCAAGCACGTTCAAAGTATCAAAATACTATCGAAAAGACTAGACGATTGTAACGCACTTAAAAAATAATTCACATCACAATTTTCTGGGTTTAAGTTACAATGAAATTTTAAAATTGTACTTACAAGTTTTGGCAACACGTTAATTCATCGATAGATCATTTCTCATTACCGCATTATTTCTTTTGATCAAGCTTGATTGACCCGGTAAATATAATAAACGTTCATTAATTAAATATTTGAAATAGTCTGTTTACCACCTATTAATTTTTTTCTGTGCTGAATTAGTCAACGAAACGCATTGGGGGTTTCAGAATTAATGATTCGACGTCCGATTTCAGATAAAATAAGCGACGTATTTATTTCAAAGGAAGCAACGTACAAATTTTTTTGTTTATTCTTCGTAGTTTTCTTTTTTTTAAAAGTACTTTAAACTGTATAAATAATGTAAAATTAAATTGATTTAAACAGCCAATCATAGGAATTCCCACTTATTTTGAAAGTTAATTCTGAAACCCCATTATAATTAATTTCTTATCCAGGGTGGGTATGGCGATCATTGATTAGTCAAAGTATTTGCAATAGTTTATTTACTATTCATTAATTTTTTATTCGTACCGATATGGTTCATAGTTACTTTTTTTCTTATTTAAACTAATTTAATAGATAAGTATAATGATTACTATTAATCAAAATACTGCAATCTATTCGTCCCATTAAATTTTTCTTATTTTGAGTCGTTTATCTACGTTTGATTTAACAATAAGTATAGTAATCAATATATTTTACTCACCAAATTTCATATATGTTGATTCAATCAATGGATCTCTTCTCATGTTCAATTGCGTGAAATATAGTACTAGTCGCAACAGAATTTCTAAGACGAATTTCTATTAATCCCAGGATGTCTCAAGTGAATATCACAGAACAATCTAATAGGAAACATTGGATCGGAAGTATAGTTGTTAGACGAAACCTTGAGGTTTCGCGCTGACGAATGTCGAAACCTAGTTTCGACTTTCGTCAACTAAAATCTCAAATGACGAAATGTCGAAACTGACGAAAGGTGACGAAATTAATAAAAGATGAAAAAAAAACAGATAAACGTTGTTGAAACTCATTGAAGATAATGTGAATGAAAAATAAATCACAAAACAGAAATTTATGAAAATTATAAAAATTTTATTATATAAGGGTGCCTTGGCTTTCTACATTTTATGCTCATAAAGGGCTAAAAGTAAAATATACAATTTATACTTAGATTAATTTTAATAAGAAGATTATTTTATGTATTTAGGTATTTCGATTAAAAAATAATTGTTATGTCTATTGGCTAAATTGACTTGAATAAAAGATTAGCATAGACAATAAATTAATAAATATATAAATTTATAGGATTTTTTTTCAGTAATAGCTTAGCTTTGCCGAAAACATAGATTTTCATCAATTTTTAACGGGAGCACCAGAGTTTCGTTAATATCATAGATTTTTTTTAGTAATCGTCATTTTATTTTTAGCGGGAGCACTAGTTTGGTGTTTCGACTTTCGTCAGAAGATTTGAGGGTTTCGACTTTCATAAGAAGGATTTAAGGTTTCGACTTTCGACAGAGGTTTCGTCATTTAACGCTTAGGTTTCTACTTTCGTCATCAAACAAAAAAAGTTTCGCCTAACAACTATAGTCCCTGCGCGTTATTTTGAAACGCGCATGCGCCTTATTTTGAATAAAATGTGCTTTTTTGAACTTTGTAATGGTATTCAAAATAAAGTGCATGGATGCTATTATAATAACCAATTGGTAACAGCAGTTTCAGATATAAATAAAATTGCGTCTCGCATCATTAGGTTCAATATATAAATTATAATGCATTTGCATTAACAAATAATAAAGCTATAAAACTCAACTTTAAGTTAAATAAACATTAGAATACATAATTTATCTAGTAATAATATCTTACGATCAGTATAATCTCAACTAATAATATATGGGGTGAGTCAATAGAAATCAAGCAAATTTTTTCTAATAAAATTTTTTTATAACTTTAAACAAGAATAACTTGACAAAAACTTAACC